CACTATCTTATTATATATTCTTCATAGCTGGCGAAGAAGAAAAACACCACTCGTCATTTTTATATTTATTTGTTTACTTAGTGTCTGTCTACCTCCCTCCCCCACCTCCACTACATACACACTCTAGATTACAATCTATACTTTTTCCTGTTCACTAGCCTAGAAGAGTACCTAGCACTCAAAAGCATACTTGTTGAATGAATGAATGAATGAACTATAAACTGTGTTCCACATTCCAAAGTCTGGAATCTGTCCCTGTAGCTAGGTGTACTGTGAGAGGAAGCATGAGCAATTAAGAGAACAATTTTTCAGATAAAATATAAAAATGCATTTCAAATAATTAGGGCTAAGAATGTATTGGGTTTTCTGGAAAGGCATAAAAGTCAAGGAACTGCCCTGACCGGTTTGGCTCAGTGGATAGAGTGTCGGCCTGCGGACCAAAGGGTCCCAAGTTCGATTCCGGTCAAGGGCATGTACCTTGGTTGCGGGCACATCCCCAGTAGTGGGTGTGCAGGAGGCAGCTGATCGATGTTTCTCACTCATCGATGTTTCTAACTCTCTATCCCTCTCCCTTCCTCTCTGTAAAAAATCAATAAAATATATATATTTTTTTTAAAGTCAAGGATAAAAAATCAATAAAATATATATATATATTTTTTTAAAGTCAAGGGACTATTACATAGAACCTATCACAAAAGGCTGTCTGATCCTCACAACAACCATGCAGGGTACCTATCATTATACACCCCGTTTACTTATGGAGAAACAGGTTCAGAGAGGTTAAGTAGCTGGCCCAGGGTCACAGAATTGGAAGCAAGACCTAAATCAGGAATGTCTAATTCCATAGCCTGTGCTTTTGACCATCACACTCACCCGGCCCCCCTATTCCACCTCCTCCAGCTCCAGGACCCTCGGCCATAAAATGACAGGCATGCTTCAGCGCTCGTGGTAAGGGCCGCAGGAGATAATGCACTTAGAATCCTTCAGCCAGTGCCCGACACATGGATACACTCATTACCTATTCGTCATTATCAGCACCAGTGTTGTCCAATGTTACACAATTCGTGAACGGGGAGAGTTAAGACATGAAATCTGGCAAACTCCAAAGCCTATGATTTCCCCACAGAGTTGGGTGAGAACGAGTCAGATCTGCTGTGGAAGAGAAGATCCTCAGGGATGGATGATCCTCAGAGGCCCTCCCAACTCTGAGAGTCTATAGTTTCTGCCTTTATCTTCACGGGGCCAATAGCAATTAGAGTTAGGCTGCAGAGGGAAGGCAGTCCTTCATCTGCCTCTACTTCTGAGTGGCTGTGGCATTATGGGAGCACGGATGAGGCCACCTGGTATGATGCTCATTAGCCAAACCCAGCTGGGTGTGGACATGACTCCTATACCGTTTTGGGTGAGCAGGCAAGTTTCTTTGTCTCCTGAGGCCTCAGTTCTTTTCTCTATAAAGTGGGGATAATAATATGACTTATCCCCATGGATGGGAAGGATTAAAAGGGTTAATACACATAGAGTACCTGTCTTGCCTGGCAAATGGTACAGCAGCCTCCTCTGTGTGGTGGGTGGTTAGGGTGGCTATTCTCACCCGAGCCCAGGGTGAGCAATGCACTGTTTAGGGGCCCCGGGCAGCCATGTTTCTGCAGAATTCAACACCTCTTGTTGGGCCTGTGGGATCTGTAATTGGCTGATGAGAATGTGCTTACACATGTGAGAGCCAGGACGCGAGAAGGGCCGGATCCCTGTGCAGCACCTCTAACAAGGCAAACAGGTTACGGTGTTCCTGTTTTGGAGCCGCAGAGAAAGACCCAGGGCTATTTTTAGCTGTGGTAGGTTTGGGTGGTGGGGAGGGCACGGGGACCGTGTTTGTTACTTTACGTTTTTACATAATGCAGTCACCCAGCTGGAAGGATCTGTTTCAGGTTGTTTTTAACATTAATCAGAGAATGTTATTTTTTCCCCAAGTTGAGATCTTCAGACTTACTGGGCAGCAAACATACAGTACCCGATACACAGAGTTAGCCTAACAAAAATAATTCCTTTGTTCTATCAAGTTTCCATGAGGTATCCTAAAAACAGGAAAAAAATGGCATAACTATAGCATTGCCTCTGCTTGAGTAAGCCTTTCTTTTAGGAAAAACATATTTTGAGATTACACTATTGTATATCTCGTGCAAATAAACTTTGGAAGAATGTTCCCTGATTCAGGAATGAAGTATGGGCAAGACCTTCCCCTGGAAATATTTCCAGCTCTTTCAGATGCAGACAAGATGTCTATCTTTCTCCTGAGATGACAACAAGCTCAAAGGGGCAAGGGGGAGGGGGCACAATTACAGCAAGGGCAGATTATTTGGGTTTGAGGAGTTAGAAACACAATGCATATTGCTGAAATGAAAGAAATGATGCCCTCCCAAATCAGACCCAGCAATTCACTTAAGAAACATTAGTTGGTCTGGCCAGTGTTGCTCAGTGGTTGAGCATCAACCTATGAACCAGGAAATCTCAGTTCAAGTCCTGCTCAGGGCACATGCCAGGATTGCAGGCTCAGTCCCCAGTGAGAGGGAGGGGGTGGGGGGGCGGTGAGCATGCCGGAGGCAGTGATCAATGATTCTTCATCATTGATGTCTCTCTCTCTCTCTCTCTTTTTCTCCCTCTCTCTCTCTCCCTTGCTCTCTAAAATCAATAAAAATATATTAAAAACAAAAACGGTAGTTGAATGCCTAGGATGGACCTGCCACTGGACATACAAAAGGGAACAAGATGGATTTGGCCCTTCTCCTAAGGCAGCTTATAACTCAGAAGGGAAAATAGATAAGAAAACAGTGTGACGGTGCTCTGATAGAGAAACGACAACTTCCAAGTTGCTTAATATTCCTGAACTTCAATTGCATCATCTCTGACATGAAACTAAGAATCCCTGTTGAAGATGGGAGGTTAAACGGTGCACATATGATCAAAACAAACAAAAATCCTCCTCCCATGTCCTCTTTCCCACGCTCCGAAATGAAGAGTAGCCTAAGAAAGAGGAAAACATGTGACCCAGAACTAAGAAGCTCCAGCCTGAGAGAGAGGTGCAAGAAAGGCCCGGGCTGACGGGGACGGGTCCCGCGACGACAGCTGGACACCAGGCCCAGATGCCACCTGTCCAGGTCAGAGCCAGCGGGAAGGCCCCAAAGAGGTTGCTCTGAAAAGATGAAATTGGTAACATGCCAAATGTGTTTGAAAATATTTGGAAAACATTTTATGCAACTGCAGACAGGTTTGAGGTTGAATTAGAGATAAGTACACAGAAAATTAAGCCTGCTTAAAACATAAGAAGATACTTCCAGGGGAAATAAAAAATAATTATGCAGGAAAATAATGCTAGATGGCACAGCTGTGAAAATACTGATGGGGCATAGATCGGAGAACAGGGGAAATGTGTCTGTAAGAGTGTTGTAGGTGGGGTGGTGAGTCGATGGCAACGCTAAATCCTCATGTTCTAATGGTGGGCAGCCAATAGATAATGCCTAAAACTGAGAAATCACAAAGTAGCAGGATAAGCATGTTATGGAGAGATATGCAAGTGAGTAACAGAAAAGTCTGCTCACATGTTACAAGGGGTTACAAGTCTGGACCTTGGGAAATTGCATTGTGTGGGGTTGGGGAAAGAGTGGGGAGCAGGGAGGTAACTAGCATCCTTTGTGTCAAAGCACGCAGTACTTTCTGACTCTCCACGCACATATCACTTTGATCATCATAAATCTAAACTTAAAATAATGGCGACACAAGAACAGGGAGTGCTGACTGTTCCTGGCTATGTTTGTGACCAAGCACAAAAGCCATGTGCACATCACATGAAGATTTTTCTGGGAAAGAACTGCCATCACATGGTGGGCCAGGCTGGCTGGCCTTCATATTATGTCTCAGATTTGCAAAGTTGACTTGTTGGTAAAAACATCATTTGCTTAAAAATGGGAGTCTCTCCCCCCCACAAGGTTGTTGACTGGGTCAGACGAGAAAAGGCATGTTCTCCGCAGAGAGCTCTGTAAATCTGGCACGTGGCCCTCTGCTCCCCACCCTCTGTTGTAACTGTATAATGATCTCCGGTGGGGCGGGGCTTCCTCTCTCTGCTTCCCCTTCTACCACCGCCTTAGTCATCTCTGGCTGCCGGAAGAGAATACTGTCGACTGGATCGCTTCAACACATCTTTCCCACAGCTCTGGAGCCTGGAAGTAAGGGACCAGGGTTTGGTCTGGTTCTTGGTGAAGGCTCTCTTCCCGGTTTATAGCCAGCAAGCCATCTTCTCATTGTCTGGTTGCGTAGCAGGTGTGTGTGTGTGTGTGTGTGTGTGTGTGTGTGTGTGTGTGTGTGGAGGAGGGAGGTTGAGGGAAGGGGAGGAGAGGGATGGGGGAGGAGGAAGGAGGAAAGAAGGGAGATGGAAGGAGAGAAATAAAGGAAGCTCTCTTGTGTCTCTTCTTATAAGGGCACTAATCTTATCATGAGGACTCTACTCTCATGATCTAATTACCTCCCAAAGGCCTCATCTCCAACAACTACCACATTGGGGACTAGAGTTTCAACATATGAATTTGAGGGGAGGGGGGAGGGTTTACAAACATTCAGTCCATAGGAATCACCATCCTCGCTGGATGGCTGGGTTGTCAGATGCGGTAGTGAGCCATCTGGGACCATGCCAACAGGAGCCACACCTGAGGATGGTGAAGCAACAAGACAGCAGGAGATGTGACCTGCTGCCTATCCCCCAACTTCTAGTTTATTCAATGAGAAAGAAATATACTTCTGCCGTGGCCAGTTTGGTTCAGTGGATAGAGCGTCGGCCCTTGGACTGAAGGATCATGGGTTTGATTCTGGTCAAGGGCATGTACCTCGGTTTCAGGCTCGATCTCCAGCCCCAGTCAGGGCGCATGTGGAAGTCAACCAGTGGATGTGTCTCTCTCACATTGATGTTTCTTTCTGTCTCTCCCCGTCCCTTCCACGCTCTCTAAGAAGCAACGGAAAAATATCCTCGGGTGAGGATTAACAAAAAAAAGAAATACACCTCTATCTTGTTTGAGCCCCAAGCCACCATATAATACCCTAATGCCCCTCTTAATCTCATTAATATGCTGAAGTAGTAGTTCTAATAGTAACAATTATTATGGTGTGCTAAGGAGGGACACCTGTCTCCAACCTGAGGAACTGAAGTCCCAACACATATGCAAGACTGAAGGCACCATTGGGCACCCAGGCAAAGTGAAGGGCTGGATGTTCTGGGCACAGAGAACAGCACAGACACCAGCAGTGAAGATGCAGACACAGGGCTGGGCATAGACACCAGCACTGAAGATGCAGACACAGGGCTGGGGAACAGAAAGAAGTTGAGGAGGGAGCGGGAGAAGGAAGTTGCAGAAGTGAGGCCAGTGAAGTGAGCGATGTAAAGGCCTCGCAGACCACGGTAAGGAGTTTGGGTTTTCATTCCAGGGCAATGGAGAACGACTAAAGGAAAGATGATTTTTAACTGATGGTATTTGTGGTGTGGAGAATGATTGGAGATCAGAAAGAATGGAGTCAAGGAGACCTGTGAGGAGGCAGTCTCAGTAATCTGAGCAAGAAACAAAAGGGGGCCCTAGCCAGTTTGGCTCAGTGGATAGAGGGTCAACTTTCGGACTGAAGGGTCCCAGGTTCAATTACGGTCAAGGGCACATGCCCAGGTTGTGGGCTCAATCCCCAGTGGGGAGCGTGCAGGAGGCAGCCAATCAATGATTCTCTCTCATCATTGATGTTTCTATCTCTCTCTCTCTCTGCCTCCCTTTCTGAAATTAATAAAAATACATTTAAAAAAAAGAAAGAAAAGGGGCCTGGACTATGGCAGGGGCAGTGGGGATAGAGAGAAGATGACAGATTTGGGCCAACTTAAATGACAGGAGGTGGGATCAGCTGATTCAACATGAAGGCAGAGGGAGAAGAGAGTTGAGAGTTAGGCCCAGGTTTCTGGCTATGAGCCTGGAAGGAGGACCAGGCCAGCCATGAAGGCAGGGCAGGGGAGGAAGAGAGGGTTTGAGGAAGAACCTGGAAGAGGCTGACCTCAGTCCAGACATGCTCAGTGGAGCATGCTCAGTGGAGGAGCCTGAGAAACATCCAAATGCTGCAGGTCAGGGCGCAGCTAGATACTCAAGATCATGGCGGAGGCTGCCGTGGATTCGTGCTCCATCCGGGTTTAGTCTTTTCGAGCATTTTTAACAAATGGACCAGGCCCACTTCTGAATGGTCACTTTCGGTTGGTGATGGGGTAATCGCCAGGTACAGCAGAGGAAACTGAAGTCCAGAAAGATCCAAAACCCTCACTCCACAAATTAGAGGCTTAGTTCCTTAGTTTTCTTTTCTTAAAATTTAAATCTACATCATACAATTAGACTCAACCCTGGATCTTTGCAGAACTGCTACTCTGTACCCTGAGCGCATCCTCTAAGTCAGCCACTTACTCACCAACAGCAGCCGAGGACCCAGTAGCTGTGCCTGGATGGGCCTAGGAGCTGCGAATTCAAAAGATGAACAAGGCAAAGTCCCACATGAAGGACTTCTTTTACTGGACCGGCTATTCTGATTGGGGAAGACGAACCACCACCTAAAGCGAATGATAAATACTACAATGAAAACAAAGCGAGTACGATCGAGAGTGACAGGGAGACACTTTAAACTGGATGACCCAGAAAGACCTATCTGAGGGTGTGTTGTGAATAACCAGAGCCAACCATGCAAAAATCTCCAGGAGAAGAACATGCTAGGAGGGAGGGACCTGCCGGTGCAAAGGCCAAAAGGTGAGGTTGAGCTGAGTGCGGAGGTGGTGAGCAGCCCATGTGGCCGGAGTGGGGTGCACAGAGAGCCGCAGGAGAGGGGCTCAGGGAAGAGGGTGGCAGCCAGAGCAGGGCGTCTTGCAGGTCAGAGCTCGGATTTTACCCTAAGCACCATGGGAAGTCATCAGAGGCTTCAGCAGCAGAGTCACCGCGGTGCCTGTTGACATGACCAGCGTCTCTGGCTGCTGCCTGGAGGGCAGATCTGGGCCAGGGGAGCCGGCAGGAGTGGAAGCCGGGATGAAGAACACAGCTCCTTCCCGCTCTAACCCCACCTGTGCTGTCTTTCTTTGCAGTCTCCACTTCCTCGCGACAACCCTGAGAGGTAGGAGTTAATACGCCCAGATGTCAATGAGGGGCCTATTTGTATACTTTCCACAAAGCCCGCCACAGTATGGGGCTTGCAGCTGTCCCTTTAATAACATTAGATGTTTGATTAATAAGTTAAACAACCCATTGCTTCCATGTCTTCAAAGAATCGGACAAATCAATTAAAAGGCCTAAAAACAAAGGCCAGACGGAGCAGCTGTTGGCCGGACATGGTCAGTTGCTTGACCGAGAAGGCCTGTCAAGCCCAATTAATGGGGCAAAGCCAAGAGTTCCCAAGGACTCAGAGTCCCCACCGGCCATGGCTCTCTGTCGCCAGTGTTCAGCCGCGTCTCTGTGCTTTCAGGAATCTGAAGGAAATTAAAACACCCTTTTCCAAACCGAGTTATTTTCAAGTGTTTAGTGTTTGTTGCATGAGGTTGGATGTGGATCAGAAGGGCAGATCACACTTTATATGCTTCCTCCCAGATTCACCCCTTGACGCAGGCCCTTAGGGCTTTCGTCCCAAACTGCCTGAATCACCCAGAAGCCTGGGAAAGGTGTGGTCATACTTCCTGTCCTAGCTCCTCGGTTCCTGGGCCAGGCGGAGACATGGGAACCCACACCCGATCACTGCTACGCTCGCATAAAAGGCTCAGGGTGCCAGAGCCGCCTGGCCCCCGCAGCGCCTTCTGGGGAACCCTCACCCAGCCTGTTGAGGGAGTATAAGATTCCATGGCCTGATGGTCCAGGATGAACCCCGACCCAAAGGGTTTCCTACATGGAATGGCCTTTATGTTGCAACTCAGCATGAAAAGATGAGTGCAGTCAAATGTCTCCCCTGAGATTTGGAACTAGAAGCAGAGGCTGATAGTCTAAAGTGGGCCCTGGGCAAGGAGGCGAGGCAAAGTGGAGCTAGTAACTGTGGTGGGCCATGTGCGGAGGGTGCAGAGGATGGGGCGGGGGTGGGAGAGAGAGCAAAAGAGAGAAAGACAGAGAGACAGAGACAAAGAGAGAGAGAAGCAAAGTCTAGAACCATGCTGTATAATGCAGTAGCCACATGTGACCATTTAATTCTATTTAAATAACTTAATCAACTGATTGATTTAAGTTACCTTGTTTAAATTCGAATTCTTTTATTTGGATAACATTAGAAATTAACATTTCAGCTCCTCAACTGTGCGACACAGTTACAGAACATTTCCTTCACCACAGCCAGTCCCAGTGGACAGCGTGGGTCTAGGAGACCCGCTGGGGGAGAGAGTCAGGAGTCTTAGCTCCAGGGTTCAATGCCTGATTCCAAGTCACTGAAGTTCAACTGCCCATACCTCCTGCCCCATATGCCATGAGGTAATTTGCATTCCTTATAATTTGCATTCACCACCTTACTTCTCCCATCACTGCCTTTTTCTAGAGCTAGAGTGGATTTTAGTTCTTATTTTAGCTTTTTCTATTCAAAAGAATTTGCACTAAGAACATACATTGAGCCCAGCCAGCGTGGCTCAGTAGTTGAGCATCGATCTATGAACCAGGAAGTCACAGTTCAATTCCTGGTCAGTGCACATGCCCAGGTTGCAGGCTCGATCCCCAGTGTGGGGTGTGCAGAAGGCAGCCAATCAATGATTCTCTCTCATCATTGATGTTTCTATCTCCCTCTCCCTTCCTCTCTGAAATCAATAAAAATATATTTTTTTAAAAAGAACATACATTGACTGATATTAATAATAAAAATAATAACTACTACAATTTATTGAGCGCTTATGTGTCTGAACACTGTGCCTTGGCATTTTATATGCATGTTTTTATTTATTCCTCACAGGAAACTCATAATATAAAGTTTGACAGCTGAAGACACATGTGACAACTGAAGACACAGAGAGGTTAAGCAAGTTGTCCCAGGTCAAAGAGCTGGTGGGTGGTAAAGTGGGAATGGAATTCGTCTTTCATCTTCAATGACTGATGCATAGAAACTTGGCCTGGCTTTTACACATGCATGAGGCTGTGCAAAGTGGCAGACACCCTGCGCTGGGGCACGGTAAGGAGGAACGAGACGCCTGAAACTTCCTTAAAGATCTCCAGCTCTGGGACACCTTCTTAGGACAGCTGGTCTGGTTCCAATCGCTGCTCTGCTCAGTGCTTTTCTCTCCACTAAAGAACAGGAAGCTTGACAAGTGACAGGCCTTGGGCACAGGCTGACCCTGTTGAGAAATAGCCCGTCAGGAGCAAAAACTGCATGTCCTGTGAACTCGGGGACCTGCCAGCAAAATTCCCTGATGCCGGAACTTTGGTTAGAGAACCTAAGTGGTGTGCTGACTGGCACTCGACGCCAAGTTTGGGGGGGGGCGGGGAGTCAGCACATACTTCTCCGCTGAACTCCATTTCCCATTCGGTTTGGCAGCTTGTTTTTTGTGAAATAAGGCCAATCCAAGAACTCCATGTCAACATCGCTTCTTTTACGGGAACCACAAATGCAGCCTCCTGGGACCTGGCTCTATCTCTGGGCAGACAGCAAAAACAACTCCTTTTGACTTTGAAATCATAACAGCCTTCCCCGAGCTACCTACTTCCTTGCTTCCTCTCCCCCCTCCCCCCTCCTCTCTGAGGAAGAAAATAAGGGACAAAGTTTGTGGGCTACAGCATCCCAGGATTTACTGTTGGCAGGGAAAGCTCCGGAGCTGGCCAGGCTGAGGGGGTTCTCTGGACCCCGCCGTCGGCTTTCCCTTTCTTGTGCTTCCAAGGCCTGGGGTTCCTTCCTGCCTGTCTCCCTCCGGGACCAGCTGGGTGAGTAGGCACGGCCTGGCCCCACCCCCTCATCTCCCTGCCACAGCTGCCCTGGCGCTGGGACTCCAGGGGGGTGCAAAAGGTGCTGTGGCATCCAAAATCCTTTCCTATCAGTGACGAAAAGCTGACATGCATGCGTCAAATCTTCCGCAGTTCTTCAGAATCGCTCTGCTTTGGGGAGAGGGGCCACGTTTAGCTGCTCAACACTTGAGATCCGCCCTGACCAGTTTGGCTCAGTGGATACAGTGTCGGCCTGTGGACTGAAGGATCCCAGGTTCGATTCCAGTCAAGGGCATGGCATGTACCTTGGTTGCGGGCACATCCCCAGTGGGGGGTGTGCAGGAGGCAGCTGATCGATGTTTCTCTCTCATCGATGTTTCTAAATCTCTATCCCTCTCCCTTCCTCTCTGTAAAAAATCAATAAAATATATTTACAAACAAACAAACAAACAAAAAACCACTTGAGATCCCAGCAGGGGTGGCGATGGGGGTGAAGGTGGGAGGACAGGAGGCATGTTTTGAGAAAGAGAATAATAATGGTTATCGACCTGTGAGCAGTTACAAGCGGATTTGTGGGCAAGAGGTATGTACTGATGGGGCGTGTGAGCAGCAGGGTTTGCAGGTCCAGGTCCTCAGCCTGAGAGAGATGGGAGAGGCTTTGCATGGCCTGTCCCCTGGGGCATGGGATGGCCTGGCTCGGGGTCGCCTTTCTCCAGGAAGGCTTCTGCAACCCCTGAGCTGCCGGAGATGGACATGTTGGTCCTCCATGTGTCCCATCACCAACCTGCGCTTCTCTCCTGGGTGGCTCTGACCACCCAGGCACTGCCTCCTCACTTCCCGTCCTCCCCACCTAGACTGTCCTCCTCCCTGCGGGCTCCTGTGCACCCAGCACCCTGCGTGTACATCGCGGAGGCTAGCCAACACCTCCACTGTGTGGAGTGGATGAATGACCGCTGGCTGCTCCTTGCAGGAGCCGGCGAGGGGCTGGCGGGGCTATCGGGACTCTTAACTAAAGTTGAGGCTCTGATCAGGGACAGCGTAGGAGTTGGGAGTAGGCCTGGAGTGCGAGTCTGGCTCCAGCGCTTACTGGCTGAGTGCTTGGGCACGCTGTTCGACCCCTCTGCACCTCCGTTGCTTCTTGTATGAAATAGAGGTAAGAATACCTATCTCATGTTTTTTATAAGAAACAAATGAGTTAATGTATGTAAAGTCCTTAAACAGTCTGATACATTGTAAGCTCTTAATAAATGTCAGCTTAGGAACTGTTTAGAAACACTACAAGAGTCAGCTCTAAGCTGTCAGCATTTGTTGCTGACTTCTATTCCCACCTCACTTCCTGTTGCTCTAAAGTGCTGGCCCATTTGTGCCTCAGGGCCTTTGCACCTCTCTTTTCCTTGCCTGGCATGGCGTCCCCAGGTATTCACATGGCTTCCTCCCTGACTGCATGTAGGAAGTATAACTTCCTCAGACGCCTTCCCTGTAGGCCCTGCCTGAAAGAGCACACCCTGCCCGGCTCGGGGTTTCATCATGACGCACTTACAGTATAGAGCCCGATGCAGAAGGTGTACATCACTTTATTTGAGTTTTGTTATGTCCACAGTAAAAAGCCATCTCCCTAAAGACAGGACCTTTGTTTTACTCACTATATCAGTAGGGTCTGCCACTTAGCAGGTGCTTAGATTTAGTTGTAGACGGATGGATGGATGGATGGATGGATGGATGGATGGATGGATGGGTAGACGGACAGATGGATCCACTGACCTCTTCTGGAAGACTTCTGTGTGTACTTTCCCCAGCCTTCCACTCCTTACTCTCCCAACCACATAACCTCATGTGCAGCTCTTCCTCCAACTCCCACACTCAATGCCCAAACTTGCTCTCTGGGTCCCTTTCCCCTCAGATGGCTGAGTTTGCCAAAGCCGTGCACTGCTCAGGAGGCGGGGTTCCAACAAAAGCAGGGGGATTTGCTGACTAGTCCAGAAAGATCAGCTGCCAGTGTCAGCTGTTAAGAAACACAGTGAACAAGACAGACAGTCCAGTGGGAGAGACAGATGAATAGAGAGACGATGACATCGGCATTGGAGCTGGGTCAGAGAGAAGCCAGGGAGAGGCCCGAGGAGGGGCCGTAACCCACACAGAGGGCAGGATCCCCAGTAGACCCCAAGGAGCTCCATCACAGACCCTCATCCTAAATAGAGCGTGTGTGGATGACACATGGCGAGGCTGCCTGACTTATCCCGGGCTGGAAAAGCACCTGGAGCGCCCGAGTCTTATGAAAACGAAAGCTTTTTATCAGTCACAGCAGCTCGGATTTGATATCATCAGAGAAATATTTTCAAGGCTGCGGGGAAGGGCAGGCAGTGTGATTAGCAGTGAGTAGAGAAACTCCTGTGTTTAAAGGTGGAGAGAAGTTGGGCTCCAGATGCTGTGGGCCCCGAATTGGGAGGAGGGGTGACTCTGACATTTCCGGCTGGGAAGGGAAAGTCCCACCAACCTTGTTGAACTGTAAGTCCCATTCTCAAAGACTGTGTTTCTAAAATTAAGTTTTACAGCCCCAGAAGACTCCTGCTGGTCATGATTTCTTGATGTGACTTTCAAAATAATTTTCAACATGAGAGTGTTATGGATTGAGTTGAGCCCCCTCCAAAACCCACATGTTGAAGTTCAAACCTGCAGGACTTTGGAATGTGACCTTGTTAGGAGATAAGGTCTTTACAGGGGTAATCGAGTTAAAGTGAGGTCAAGAGGGTGGGCCCTAATTCAATATGACTAGTGTCCTTCCAAGAAAGGGAAATTTGGACCGGGACCGGCACAGAGGGACGGCAATGGGAAGAGACATAGAAAGCCGTCTGCAAGTCAAGGGAAGAGGCCAGGGAACAGATCCCTCCGCATGGCCCTCCCGGGGAGCCAGTGCTGCAAAAACACCATTGATTTTGAACTCCCAGCCTCCAGAACTGTGAGACAATCCATGTCTGTTGTATAAGCCACCAGCCTGTGTGGCTTTGTTCCAGCACCCCTAAGAAACCAATGAAGAAAGAAACAGCAACGCTTCTTTAGACCAGGAACAAAGGACCCCATCCAGGTCTTTCCTAATCTTTGGGGAATTCAAGTATTTCCCAGGACAGCTTAGTCTCTCTGCGTATATTTATATGTATGATGGGTACAAGATAGAGAGTAACCAAGACACTCAAATGCTTTTTTTAAATATATTTTTATTGATTTCAGAGAGGTAGGGAGAGGGAGTGAGAGATAGAAACATCAATGATGAGAGAGAACCATTGATCAGCTGCCTCCTGCACGCCCCACACTGGGGACCAAGCCTCAAGCCGGGCATGTGCCCTGACCAGGAATTGAACCGTGACCTCCTGGTTCATAGGTCGATGCTCAACCACTGAAACACACTGACCGGGCCGACATTCAAATTCTTGAAGAGTGTTAAGCACATAGATTTCAGTTTAGGTTAAATATTTATTGATCCTATCATGTGCTAGGCACTGGGCTGGAGATCTAGAAAGTACAGTCCCTGCTTTCAAGGAACTCACAATCAGGTAGGAAAAGCATGAGTGTGTAATTAATTACACCTCAGAGAATTGAGCACAATAATTGAAAGGCATATAGAATGGCCCAGCCGGTGTGGCTCAGTGGTTGAGCATTGACCTATAAACCAGGAAGTCATGGTTTGATTCCCAGTCAGGGCACATGCCCGGGTTGTGGGCTCGATCCCCAGTAGGGGGCGTGCAGGAGGCAGTGAATCAATGATTCTCTCTCATCGTTGATGTTTCCAGCTCTCTCTTCCTCTCCCTTCCTCTCTCTGAAATCAATAAAAACATATTTTAAAGGCATATAGAGTACAAAGGTAACACGAGGAAGAAGTGACCATCTCAAGGAAAGGGGGCCATTCAGAGAGGCTTCTCAGAGGAGGGTCTGAGCTGAGTTAAACCTGCAATCTTCTCCTCGAGGTGACAAATCAGTGAGACCTGCAAACCTACAAGTCAGTGAAGCAGGTGGCACTTATACACTCCATCTGAGTATGGTTTCGCGGCAGAAAAATAATTTGTGGGTCATTGCAGCATTGTTTAAATAACAAACAAACAAAATCAGAAGCGTCCCAAATCTTTATCAATAGACAGTGTTAAGTAAATGATGGTCTGTTCACACAATGGTCACAGCCAGGGGAAATTATATTCCATCATGGAACAATCTCCAAGGGGTATTGTTAAGTGAACAAACTAGAATACTGCACATAGCATGACACCATTTATGTTGTAAACGGAAAGATATAAAAGTAGTTACTTATATTTATGAATGCATAGAAAGATCTGAGAGAATAGGTAAACACTGATAATATTAGTTGTCTGGAGAGATGGAGGAGCAAAGTCAGGGGGAGAGGGAGAGGGAGAGGGAGAGGGAGAGGGAGAGTATTCATTTAATCTTTTACAACAAAGAAAAAGTTTTTAAGGCAAAAACAAACAACTTTTAAAAATATCTCTGATACAAATGGCTAGTCCACCTCTCTGGGACGGGGCCCTGAGCCCTGTGCCTGACCTGACTATTGAAGAACTCATCTCCCAGAGAACTCGCTTCCCACTCTTCCTCGTGTTATGTCCACCTGCCAACGTGGCCTGGCCCCAGCCCCCACAGGCAGCTGCCTGCTGTTTGCTTTGCGAGATTTGTAGCTAAGACCTTTGCATTCTATGGCAGGCAGACTTGACTTGAAATCTCAAACTTTTCACTTACTAGCTGTGTGACCTTGACAAAAGTATCCTTATCCTCTGAGCCTCCGTTCTCCCACCACGGGGTGATTGTGAGAGTTCACTAAGACAATGCCCGTTAAAGCCTTAAAAAATCACAGCTTGAAAAGAGATAAACAACAAGAATCTGCTGTTGACTATGTTCAACTTATCCCCATTGACATCAGCCCAGCCTCAGGTTACCCTTACCTGTGCCAGCTGAACTGTCTACCTCATCTTAAGTGACTGGACTTCCCCAGTTTTAGTGAAAAGTTATATGAACTCAAACCAAAAGGAAAACAATAATGGAATTTGAAGATTTGATCAGGAGTTCTCATTTTCAATAAATCGTAAATTTCACCTTCTCCCTGTGTCCTCTCCATGCCCCCCACCCCCAAACACACACACACACACACACACACACACACACACACACACACACACACACACGCACACACCTGAAAGCCACAAGAAGGCTGGGCGG